TTTCTTCTTTTTTAAAGTTGCTGGCTGACATTTGATGGTAAAGTTGCAAATAATTATTCACCAAATAGAAGTGAGAAATTATTTAATTTAGGTACCCATCACAAAACATTATTTACTATTATGTTTTATCTCACACATTATTGATATCGATTATTTAATTATAATATCGTAATAACACATTTGACGTGACCTCATGAAAAACCATTACAAAACCATTATTTATGAAAGGGGGCTGGGGGGGTAAAACCCCAAGAACACACAGCAACTACTCACTACAGACCAACTGAGTCATAGTGACTCCAAGCAAATCATCAACAATGCTAGAGCCAATCCAACTCGGAGCCATATCAAGAAAACAAACACCGAAGATCAGATTGTAGCTCCATTAAGCAATTACTGTCAGCAACCACATTTCTTTCTCTATAAAATGTGTTGAAGAGCACAGGTATCAAGCTTTCCCATAAACTCCAGCAACTTGAAGCCAGAGACGCAATCTTAAAAAACTGACAAAGAATATGGAAGGGACGTGTACCCCACGGAGTCCCACTGGACTACCAAAGAAACAACACGTGTAAAATCTTTGCCAGTAAAAAACACGTGGCGAATTATAACTGGTCTCAAGCATAGTATAAGAGCGCGTGGGACTACACTTCCTTCGCTCGATAAAGCAGTGCAGCAGAACTACGTCTCTCTTTGAGCTCTCTGTCTCATCTCCTACAAGCCTGTCTACAAGTAGAGAAGAGAAGCTCAGAAATGGAAGCAGAGCCGTTGGTCTCAACAATACGTATCTCGCTAACCAACCACTTCCTCTCGCGCACAACCAGTCAACCTCCCTCTCCATGTGAGCCCTCCACGGCTCTCTAATTTTACCAAAGCACTAAAAAAATCCAAAAGCACAAACGTACGTTATTAAAAAGCCGGGTTGTTGAACAATTGCTTGCTTGTGATCTTGTCGTTTTGATAATTCATGAGTGCGGTGGTGAAAGGACCGCGACCGTTGATTTATAGCCCGCCGCGGGGCGCTGAATCTGGACCGTTGGGGGTGCCGTCATTGTCGGCGGCGAAGATAGGGTTCTTTAGGGTGAAGGGAAGCAATGCGATTGCATCCAGGTTTTTGAGACCGATTAAGGCAATGGAGGACTCTAGCGTTTCTTTGAGGAATGATTGCGCCGCCATTTCTGGTACCACTCTCTTCAATTTAATGGAGGACTCTAGCGTTTCTTTGAGGAATGATTGCGCCGCCATTTCTGGTACCACTCTCTTCAATTTCAAGTTCTCTCAGTTTTTTTCTTAAAATTTGATGCCAGTTGTAATGTTTGGCTTGCATTGTGGAATCAACATATATATCCTTTTGGATTTGGGCATTTTGCTGTTTCAATTTAGATTCAGGAGTTTTGAATGTGGCTCTCTGTTTTATTTAATTTTTAAAGATATGTTTGGTATTTCGTAAATTACTTTTTCTTTTTGGCCTTGAGCCTTGGGTGAGAATTGAGTGGACGAGAAAAGTAGATTCTAGGGCAAAATTCCCTTGTAACAGCAAAATTGACTTCTTCTTTTTTTAATAATTACGTTTTTGAATAAAATGGAGGAGGAAGGTGGGTTAAATCATTGGTTATGGACTCATACTTTGTTTGTTTTTATGGTGGGCTGAGTCTTAGTGCTTGTTAGTGATTAGTGATTAGTTTATAATTTCTTCTTCTTCTTCTTCTCCTATGCCATACTGTCATTACTTTGGTCAACCCCTCTTTGTATCTTCATCTTCTGTATACAACATTCATGCTGCCAACTCTCCTCAATGCCACCAGCGGCCCATTTTGAGCACAATTAAAGCATTTCAAGTCCGTCGCACAAGGTTGATGATTCAGTAACCATAAAAACCTTGCTTATTTATTTATTTATTTATTTTCAGTTATTGTGGGTTTCTTGCTGTGTTGGTTAGAAATTGGCCTTGAATTGAATATGGTATATTTAATGTTCATATTTGTTTGAGCCTCAAAGTACCTGTTTTTTTATGACAGATCTGGTGAATATTAGAGGTTTTTTCTTTTTGTAGAATTCCTTTTCTTTTCAATTCTCTTAAAGAAAATTGATTAAGGATCGGTGCTTTTAGATTATGGAGGCTATGAGCAGAATTAATCATTTTATATGCTGTTGACACTTTGATGAAATATATGCGTGTTAAACTTCAGCTGAAGCAAAATTCTCAGCCCTTGAGCATGAATATTGTTATTGTTCTAGAATGTTGTTAAGCTATGGGTTATCAGGAAACCTAGTGTTCTTCAGTGGATGGATTTAGGGTTCTAATTGAAACCAACCATCTAACTAGGTAGTCAGATACATTGGCCTTTGTACCAATGTTCATGACTTTTCTACGTACTTCTTCACGTTGAATAGTTGAACATACACTGGTGAAGGAAGGGAGTTCGGTGTTCATGAGTATGTGGCTTCGTAGGTCTTCATATTCTGAGTCAAGACTGGACAAGAGTTGAAATATCTTGTCTTCTTCAGCCCTCTTTAGTAACGTAGAAGCATCAGTTGTATGCGGGCGATATGTTTCCAGCTCATTCCACATGCTCTTCATGCTACCTAGAAGTTGTACAAAAGGCTTTCCTTCTTGTTGCAGGTTGGAGATGTCCTTCTTCAATTGGAAAACGCGTGCAGCATTGTTCTGACTGCTGTACATTTCCTTGACAGTCTCCCATAGCTTGGATGATGATTCAGAGTAACTGAATATTTCAGCTAGTTTACGTTCCATAGAATTTAGGAGCCACGACATAACCAGCTGATCTTTGCTAAGCCAGGATTCATAAGTTGATGAAGAAGCATCAGGGGCTTCGATGCTTCCATTTATGAATCCTAACTTGGACCTTCCTCCTAGAGCAAGAGATACTGCTCTCGACCAGGGCAAGTAGTTAAACTCATTCAACAAGACTGAGCTTAATCTTTGATTTGGATTTACATCCACCTCAGACAAATTCACGGATGAAGGAACTTGTGAACTTTCTGCTTCAGACCCAAAAGGATTATCTTCAGCCATTTTGAAGGTTGAAGGAGATCAGATAGAAGTAACGCAGAAGCAGATTATTTTCCCTGCTCTGATACCATATTGAATTTCAAAAGAGTTGTATTTTGTATTATCAAATCATAGGTTTTTTAGTCTTGTCATACTTAACAGGAATTTATATTGTGTAAATTGTTTACACCGAGCAGTTAATCTTATGACTTTCTTTAGAGCTATTTTAATTTCACATCTAAACAAAGAAGAGCCTTGTCCAACTGAGCTTGCTGTTGCTACATCATCCTTCTATACAAATAGTTCCTAAACACAAGAAAGAGAACTACATGGGGAACGGGAATACACAGACAAACAAAAAACGCTGGACAACTTCCAATACAATGCTGGCACGCTGGACAACTTCCAATAGTTTCTCAATCTTTGACTCGTTATACCTCAATCTTTGATATGGTTCGGAGTTGGATTCGATCTATTCATATACAATCAAAGATCTAATCGACCAATTGAACCACACTCTCTTTGCTCATAATTGTGTTGCTTTGTTGTTGGCTCGTTATACACGTATATTTGCGAGTTTGAGGTATAACCGATCAAATCTAACCCTCCAAATGTCTAGCGTTTTTAAGAAATTAATTTTTGATTGATGATAATTGAATGATGAAACTTAAATATATTTTTATTCAGTTTTAGGTCCATTTGTTTTCATATGAGTATGCTTAGTTTTATGATTAAGTTTCAAATTACCTATATTTATATAAATGCATTTTATTTAATTACAAAATGACTTTCTAAATTACTTTATTGTACATAGAGATAGAGGGGAATCAAATCGGATATTAAAAGTGCCAACACACTACTTTAATCGATTGGCCTTACTCGCATGTACAAATACGTTTAGTTTTATATGGGCACGTTTGGTTTGGTTTTATGATTCATTTTGGTTTCAATGTAAATATATTTATGGGTAAGTAGATTTAATGTTTTTTGTTTATGAACTGGGTGGGGGCCGGGGGTAAAACCCCAAGAACACACCAGCAACTACTCACTACAGACCAACTGAGTCCTAGTGACTCCAAGCAAATCATGAACAATGCTAGAGCCAATCCAACTCGCACTCGGAGCCATATCAAGAAAACAATTACTGTCATTTATCTATAAATGTGTTGAAGAGCACAGGTATCAAGCTTTTCCATAAGCTCCCAGCAACTTGAAGCCAGAGACGCCATCTTAAAAACTGACAATGGAAGGGACGTGTACCCCACGGAGTCCCACTGGACTACCAAAGAAACAACACGTGTAAAATCTTTGCCAGTAAAAGACACGTGGCGAATTATAACTGGTCTCAAGCATAGCACCACTCTGTATAAGAGCGCGTGGGACTACACTTCCTTCGCTCGATAAAGCAGTGCAGCAGAACTACGTCTCTCTTTGAGCTCTCTGTCTCATCTCCTACAAGCCTGTCTACAAGTGGAGAAGAGAAGCTCAGAAATGGAAGCAGAGCCATTGGTCTCAACAATACGTATCTCGCTAACCAACCACTTCCTCTCGCGCACAACCAGTCAACCTCCCTCTCCATGTGAGCCCTCCACGGCTCTCTAATTTTACCAAAGCACTAAAAAAATCCAAAAGCACAAACACAACACGTAATTAAAAAGCCGGGTGGTTGAACAATTGCTTGCTTGTGATCTTGTCGTTTTGGTAATTAATGAGTGCGGTGGTGAAAGGACCGCGACCGTTGATTTGTAGCCCGCCGCGGGGCGCTGAATCTGGACCGTTGGCGGTGCCGTCATTGTCGGCGGCGAAGGTAGGGTTCCTTAGGGTGAAGGGAAGCAATGCGATTGCATCCAGGTTTTTGAGACCGATTAAGGCTATGGAGGACTCTAGCGTTTCTTTGAGGAATGATTGCGCCGCCATTTCTGGTACCACTCTCTTCAATTTCAAGTTCTCTCAGTTTTTTTCTTAAAATTTGATGCCAGTTGTAATGTTTGGCTTGCATTGTGGAATCAACATATATATCCTTTTGGATTTGGGCATTTTGCTGTTTCAATTTAGATTCAGGAGTTTTGAATGTGGCTCTCTGTTTTATTTAATTTTTAAAGATATGTTTGGTATTTCGTAAATTACTTTTTCTTTTTGGCCTTGAGCCTTGGGTGAGAATTGAGTGGACGAGAAAAGTAGATTCTAGGGCAAAATTCCCTTGTAACAGCAAAATTGACTTCTTCTTTTTTTAATAATTACGTTTTTGAATAAAATGGAGGAGGAAGGTGGGTTAAATCATTGGTTATGGACTCATACTTTGTTTGTTTTTATGGTGGACTGAGTCTTAGTGCTTGTTAGTGATTAGTGATTAGTTTATAATTTCTTCTTCTTCTTCTTCTCCTATGCCATACTGTCATTACTTTGGTCAACCCCTCTTTGTATCTTCATCTTCTGTATACAACATTCATGCTGCCAACTCTCCTCAGTGCCACCAGCGGCCCATTTTGAGCACAATTAAAGCATTTCAAGTCCGTCGCACAAGGTTGATGATTCAGTAACCATAAAAACCTTGCTTATTTATTTATTTATTTATTTTCAGTTATTGTGGGTTTCTTGCTGTGTTGGTTAGAAATTGGCCTTGAATTGAATATGGTATATTTAATGTTCATATTTGTTTGAGCCTCAAAGTACCTGTTTTTTTATGACAGATCTGGTGAATATTAGAGGTTTTTTCTTTTTGTAGAATTCCTTTTCTTTTCAATTCTCTTAAAGAAAATTGATTAAGGATCGGTGCTTTTAGATTATGGAGGCTATGAGCAGAATTAATCATTTTATATGCTGTTGACACTTTGATGAAATATATGCGTGTTAAACTTCAGCTGAAGCAAAATTCTCAGCCCTTGAGCATGAATATTGTTATTGTTCTAGAATGTTGTTAAGCTATGGGTTATCAGGAAACCTAGTGTTCTTCAGTGGATGGATTTAGGGTTCTAATTGAAACCAACCATCTAACTAGGTAGAAATCTACGCCAGATGTCAACGATGGAGAATCCAACAAACATTGTGTGGCATAAGAGCTCAGTGGAGAAACTTGATAGGCAACGTTTACTTCAGCAGAAAGGCTGTGTCATATGGATTACTGGTCTTAGTGGTTCAGGTTTGTTTCTTTCTATTCACTTTTGCAATATGAAAGGCTAATCAGCGTCTCCGTTAGCAACTATGTAATTGTTATTGTATATGCACACATGAAGTTTTAGCTATTTTGTTATTTAATAACTCATGCAAAAATTATTTAATTTCTGTAGTTCTGGAATCTTTAAGATTTGACTGTTTTCTTGTGTGTATATTTTGATATGGGAATTTGTGATTTGTAGTTATACTTGCATAGCAGTAATCATGCTGCTGGTATAACCCTTCTGGAATTATACATCTCAATAACCAGAAGGCAAGGTCATGATACCTACATGAAAGGTGGTGCCATCATTTGACCTCAGCTTTCCCTTTCAAGAGATATGTCAAAAGAGGATAAAGAAAGGAAGTTGACATACTATGAGTGTAGACTTCCCTCGTTCTCTCTCATACACACACGCACACACAATAGGTTAGAAAGATATCACTCAGTAGCTACAGATCTCTTTCTGTGTGCTTTCCTTTGCTACCCATCTCTGCTGCTTCTTAGCTGTAGTATTGTTATTATACCTTAGCTTGATTACATTAATATTATGTAACACAGCTAAGTACCCTGTAATTTTGTTTTTTGGCTAATAGTTATAGCCTCTTCAAGTGCTAATTCATTGATTAAAACAATTGAGGTTATCCGTGCCTAAGTCAGTTTTACCTTTTTCATCCTTAATTGTTTATGCATGACCCAAACTCATCTTTTCACAAGGTTCAATCTTCTTCATTCATGTCTCTGTCAGGATCCTTGATATTCAACTATGAATACAGATAAATGGTATAATCATAGAACAGTGCAGCATAAGCTTTTTCATTTGTTTTTTAGTCTTGTCATACTTAACAGGAATTTATATTGTGTAAATTGTTTACACCGAGCAGTTAATCTTATGACTTTCTTTGGAGCTATTTTAATTTCACATCTAAACAAAGAAGAGCCTTGTCCAACTGAGCTTGCTGTTGCTACATCATGGCCCATTTTACTGATTTTATGTTGGTGGAGCTATCGTGAATATCAAAACAATAGTTAATAAATGCATCTCAAACAGTATTAATTTGATAAGTACAAATATTTGTCCCCATTTTAATAAAAATATTATTTGTTCCTTGATTTATGAATGTCATCCTTAGGTGATGCTCAAACAAACTATTCAAGGCCGGATCAGCAAAGGAAACATACATGTTGATAGTTTGCATGAATAAATTGTCATTTTAAAGATCTATCAAGGTGTTTACTGGATGGTACACTATAAAGGAGGAACTATGAAAGAAGAAAGCTAACGCATTAACCATCTCCATCAATTGGAAGACTTTCTAGATAGACATTTTTGTATTGCTTATGACTTTTGGTGCAACTTTGTTGGACTCTGATTGCGTATTCTTCCTGTTCAATTTGTTACTCTTTAGTCTTCACCTTATAACCCACACTCTCATATCCTGGTCTCTGATTTTAGGAAAAAGCACTGTGGCATGTGCTTTGAGTCAAGGCTTGCACATGAGAGGAAAGCTGACCTACATCCTTGATGGTGACAATGTTCGGCATGGTCTAAATCGTGATCTTAGTTTCAAAGCAGAAGATCGTGCAGAGAACATACGAAGAATTGGTGGGTATTTTTGTAGTCAGAATTTATTGACTTTTCCATTTATTTTCTTAGATTTTCTTTTACTGATTTAATTCTTCACAAAAAAAAAAAGCTGAGGTAGCTAAGCTCTTTGCGGATGCTGGCATCATTTGTATCGCTAGTTTAATATCTCCATACAGAAAGGACCGAGATGTCTGCCGTGCATTATTTCCTGAAGGAGATTTTATTGAGGTATGTGATGTCTTTAATATGAGGATTGGATTCAATCCAAAAATATAGGGAGTGAATTTAGTTTGCTATTACCACCACAATGTGACAAAAGGCAAGAGGCTCTATGTTTCCAGTGATGACCGACAAACCTCACATTTCTCAGGTGTTCATGGACGTGCCACTCCATGTGTGTGAGAATAGGGACCCGAAGGGCCTTTACAAGCTTGCTCGAGCTGGAAAAATCAAAGGTATGCTCTAGGAGCTTAAGTTTAAAGACGATGCAGTGCTAAATGGATCTATCATTTTTGTGTTATTTCTTTCCCCAACCCCAGGTAAATCAGTTCTCACCAATCATATAAGTGGTGAATGATTTGTTTGGCATTCTGCAGGTTTTACAGGGGTTGATGATCCATACGAGCCACCATTAAATTGTGAGGTATGTCTGTAAAGGAAATCATACATCTGTGTAGGGCAGCATTACTTTGTGTTTATGAACGAAATCAAGCCTTTAATTCCTTGTTTTAAATTGGTTTTTTTCTTTCTTAATATGCTTTCATCTTGCAGATAGTATTGCAGCAGAAAGGTAGGGACTGTGTCCTCCCATGTGAGATGGCCGAAACCGTGATATCATACTTGGAGGAGAAGGGGTATCTGCAGGCGTAATAGAAGACAAGGGCTTCCAGTTCTTCGGCGCCAGGGCTGCTTCTACCTGTAATATAACATCCTGCAAAAAACCCCATTAATTTTTCCAGTCAAAAAATAAAACTAAAGAGTTTGTCCTTCCCTGCAGTTAGGAAATTGCTCGTTTCCTGCGTACTCCAGTTCCATCCATCAAATTAATTAATCGATCGATTAATCAATTTTGTTTGGTTCGAAAGCTGCCTTGTGCAATGTGGCTTTCGAGACCACCCAGATTGCAATAAAGCAGTGGAACTTGGGAAGGAGTTCATGCATTCATTTGTGTAATTGTGTAATGAGATTTAACATGTAGAATAATTTCTGCATAGCTGCTGCACTGCTTGCCTGTACTCGCTAAACTTTGCCTGTACTGTGCGTATATTTGTTCATTGAAATCTCTTAGCAAAATGAAAAGCCCAACGAAAAACTGAACAGTTTCAATGAAAAGCCCAAATCTCTCTCGCTCTCTCTGTTACCCACTGCCAAACCGCCAGGCGCCGAACCAGGCCCCCGCCGTTCGATTTTGTAGCATGCAAAGCTTCTAGTTAGAAGATGCTTAAAATCGACTACAATTGAGTTATTAATATTAGTATTAATACAAGACAGAAATGTTATGTTATAGAATATACGTTTTGCACTTTATCATTAGAGATTTTACTCTGGGGGAGTATTTTAAACTTGGTAATTTCTTGTTTGGTAATCTTTTTATTACATAGGTGTTGCAAAGTTATTAATTCGGATTTGTTTAATTAACTATTTTTTAACAGTTGTGACTCTTCTGATAAGGTTTTAAAAGTCTATTTAAATCAGAACATGCCTCATTGGTCAAACACAGAAAAAGCATTCTATAAGCACATTCATATTGTTTGAGAGGAAAAAGAAACAAAGTTCGTCATATTCTAAGTCATAGTACTAGGGCTTAGAATATAAATAGTTGAATCTTGGGAGACAGTCACCTGTAGAATATCAAGCACTAAGAAGGGGTGAAATTACTGTTTTTAGGACATTGCATCAAATCTGCAAGCCTATATCTTGAATCCAAGTCAGTTTCATTTATTTATTGTTTACTGTATTTCAAATTACAGTTTGTTATAAATTCAATTTTGTTGGTATTTATATATTGTTGATTTATAATCATTTCACTGATTGTTGTGTTTCCAACAGCTAGTTGAGGTAAGGTTTATGGCCAATGCAACCCATCTGGAGTCGCCACAGCTTGTGAGGACACATACGATGGTGCCCTTGGAGGGGTAATTCCAGTGTATTATTGAGTTCAAAACTTGTAGAGTATGGCAGCGAAGGTCCTTTGGTTGAAGGCATGTGTTGTG